CTTGGTCCTGGGGAGGAAAGCTATGGCAAATCTAGACAGCACACTAAGAAGCAGAGACATCACCCTGCCAACAAAAGTATAGTCAAGGCCATGGTTTTCCCAGTTGCAATGTATGGCTGTGAAAGTTGGACCATAAGAAAGGCTGAGCACAAAAGAATTGAGGCCTTTGAAGTACGGTGCTAGAGAAGACCCCTGCGAGTCCCCTGGACTGCAAGGCATTCAAACTGGTCAGTCCTAGAGGAGATCAACCCCGACTGCTCTTTAGAAGGCCAGATCCTGAAGTTGAAACTCAAGTACTTTGGCCACCTAATGAGAAGGAAGGACTCACTGGAGAAGAGCCTGATGCTGGGAAAGATGGAGGGCAAGAGAAGAAGGGGACGACAGAGAATGAGGTGGCTGGATGGAGACCCTGAAGCAGGAGGCGTGAGCTTAAATGGACTCCAGAAGATGGTAGAGAACAGGAAGGCCTGGAGGAACGTTGTCCATGGGGTCGCGATGGGTCGGACACAACTTCGCAACTAACAACAACACCTTTTGCATATATTAAAGTTCTTGGCTTCTCAACTCACAGCTTTTCCATCAGGCAGGAATTCACATTGGGAAACACTTGCTGGGTCAGTGTTTCTAGGGCATTTCGTCTCTTTTATGGTGAATTCAACCATGAATACCGTACGACTGGCCACCTGCATAAAATAAACAAAACAGTGATCAAATTACATCCAACTTTTCTAATATTACACTTCATTTTGGCATTAGCATCTAAGGATGACTACAGAGCAGATGTAATTTTTTCACCTAGGAAAGTTTTAGAAAAATCAGGCTATTCCATGGAGTCTGTTCTAAATCAGAATAATCCTAGGCATAAGATAGGTTACGAATAAAGAGGATTAAAGATGCCACTTCTTGACACTGCTAGTACAATACAGTAATGACACTATCAAAGGGTTTTAATACAGTTAAGATATGGGTTAAATTTGATATGCGTTTCATTCATAAGAATAGCAACTACAAGAATGACCTTTTTAAGAAGAAAGAAAGGAAGGAAAGAAGAGAAAGAGAAAAAATAACAGAACAGAATAACAGAATAACAGAGTTGGAAGAGACCTTGGAGGTTTTCTAGTCCAACCCCCTGCTCAGGTAGGAAACCCTATACCATTTCAGGCAAATGGTTGTCCAGTCTCTTCTTAAAAACTTCCAGTGTTGGAGCATTCACAGCTCCTGGAGGCAAGTTGTTCCACTGATTAATTGTTCTAACAGTCAGGAATTTTCTCCTTAGTTCTAGGTTGCTTCTCTCCTTGATTAATTTCCACCCATTGCTTCTTGTCCTGCCTTCAGGTGCTTTGGAGAATAGCTTGACTTCCTCTTCTTTGTGGCAACCCCTGAGATATTGGAAGACTGCTATCACGTCACCCCTCGTCCTTCTCTTCATTAAACTAGGCATACTCAATTCCTGCAACTGTTCTTTATATGTTTTAGCCTCCAGTCCCGTGATCATCTTTGTTGCTTTTTTCTGCACTCTGTCTAGAGTCTCAACATCTTTTTTACATCATGGCGATCAAAGAGAGATAGAGTAGTGGAAGGTGCTTAAGGGGAGTGGATTTTCCATTGCTGATCCTTTCTTTCCGGACACCTTGGGAAACAATTTTTACATAAGCCTACTGATCCACGGGAAAACATGGATACGTACTGCGCTGATAACCTTTTGGACTTTCTCCACCTTGAAATAATTTGACTCATTGCTCCCCAGGCTGTACGTCTCTAAAATCTTGTTGGCTTCTTCAGTGTGCTTATCAGTGTCTTCTAGAACTGTTATTCTTACAGGGCAATCCTTGCATTCATATAGTTTTGGTGGAACTGTTAAAAAAAAAAAGCACTGTTATCAACACTGCAGCATCATTGATCTGAGTTGTCTTCACACATTAAAGCTGGAACAAATTAGTAAAAAATTAATCTTCCAATGTAATCTTTGAATACTAAAGTTCTCAAAAAATGTCCTTTTAAAATTTTTGATCTCACCTAAGTGATAATATCTATTACCACCCTGCTTCTGCCACGAAAAATTAAAATTCAGAAGTCTCATGTCCGGCAGTGAAAACCTTTCCCTCTCCCACGGTAAGATATGATGTTCATTTTTCTAACAGCATTTCTATTTATTCTATTTATTTATAAAATTTATTGGCCACCCATCTTACCATATAGCAGTGGTGGCGAACCTATGGCACGGGTGCCAGAGGCGGCACTCGGAGCCCTCTCTGTGGGCACATGTGCAGTTGCCCCAGCCTTGCCTCCCCCCACGACCCCCTCCTCTCAAGCAGCCCCCCTGAAGGAGAGTCGCCCCCGAGCGTGGCCCACACGGAGCAGCGCAGCCAAGGACATGGCAGCCAGGCAGCGTAGACAAGACTCTGCCCTCACACCCCATCATGCAGTTGATGCTGCAGACTGCGGGCAGAGGGTGTGGCCGCCATAGCGCTGCTGGACTGCCTGGGCAATCTGCGGCGGGCTGTGGAGGCGGTGAGTGGTCCTGTGGGCAGGGGGGTAGGGGATAGGGGAGCAGAGCGGGGGCAGGACAGGAGGGTGGAGTGGGGGCGGGGCCAGTTTTTGGGCACTCGGTCTCTAAAAGGTTTGCCATCACTGCCATAGAGTAATTCTGGGAGGTTTACAATTGCGTAAAATCTAAAACGTAAAAAAAACCAACATTAAAACCAAAAACATATGGGGAGGGCGGGGGGGATGGGGAGGAGGTGGGATCTATTATTACTCAATCAACCACCTCTATTCCACTGTTGCCCCACAGTGAGCCCAAGCTGACTGACAAAGCCACGTCTTTAGGCCCTTACAAAAAGATAGGAGGGTTGGGGCCAATCTGACATGGGATGGGGCAAGATGTTCCAGAGGGCAGGAGCCAAAGCAGAGAAGGCCCTCCTCGTGGATCCCGCCAGCCAGAATAATCAGGCTGACAGGACCCACAGCAGGCCTCCTCTGCCGGCATGAGTGGGTCGGGCCAACCCCAGTGGGGTGAGACAGTCCCTCAAGTAACCTGGACTATCTATCAGTTAATACGACTGCAATTTCTGAGGTTGTGCAGATGAACTGGTGAAGTATTGACATAAGCACATAAAAGCAGTCCTCCATGTTTATCTGCAACCAGGGGTATCTATGGAAAAGGGTCCAATGGATATGAATACCCCCCAAAAATTGTGGCTTTGATCAGGACTGATTTTTTGACCCTCCTGTTATAGGTACCTCTTTCTATAACCTCACATCCTGACCCACTGTCATATCTGCCTTCCCCCAAACCGCAGTTGAATGTCTTGCCTTGATTCTTGTTTAATGCATCGATACATTTAGATGATAATTCTTGTCTGTCTAGCTCTTTCTTTCTTTCTTTCTTTCTTTCTTTCTTTCTTTCTTTCTTTCTTTCTTTCTTTCTTTCTTTCTTTCTTTCTTTCTTTCTTTCTTTCTTTCTTTCTTCCATCCATCCATCCATCCATCCATCCATCATCTATCTATCTATCTATCTATCTATCTATCTATCTATCTATCTATCTATCTATCTATCTATCTATCTATCTATCTATCTATCTATCTATCTATCTTATCTATCTAATTTAAAACTGAAAAAAATGTTTAAAGGAAGCGGCATTTGGCTTGTGTGTACAGACCTGTCATCATCCTCTAAAAATTGGAAGAATCAGACTTTTCCCTCAAACATTTCTAGGAGACAAGATTGTACATTGTCTGAAGGTGCAAAAAATAGCCCTCTAGGTCACTGAGATGCTTTTTTATTTGATTTTGAACTTGTAATTTAGAAGATGTGAATACCTGGACTGACAGTGCAGTTGTATGCGTATAGCAGTTTTCTTTTGGAAAGTTCATTTATATACACAACAGCCTTACATTGTCCCAAATCCTGGAAAAGACATAAGAAAAGGCATCAGTTCCAAACTGTATTTTACAGAAAGACAAAAGCCACTAGAAGTTGACTCCTAGCAATGTCCTGGCCATGATTATGGAATGTTCTTGGTACTAGTACGACAAGCTTGATTTACCATGTCCTTCTTTCCAGAGTGGATTTTCAAGTTCCCTTCTTAGTCTACAAGCTTGTTTTTCTTGGATCTTGTTCTGACCCAGAATTAAGTTGCGTTGTAAACCCGGGTCAGACAGATTAACTCAATAGAAATGATTGCAAAACAGACATATATTTATTCAGAGAATTACTTGCATTTTATGATCAGGTCCAGAACAGATCTTCTATTCAAGTATTAACCATCGCTGACCCTGCTTGGCTTTCTAAGGCACCCAGGGCAGTGTAAAGGTTAAGGCTAGTGAGAGGGGAAATCAGGAATTCTGAGCTTAGAGGAGGACATGTTGTAAACATATCCCAAGGCCTCCAGTTGATTTGCCAAAGTTCTGTTAATTCTGAAAGATTACAGGGAGAAGTCTAAAGTTTGAACTCTGGAGCATAAAATATTGAAGCTTCTGGCTTCTCTGCCTTTGAAGCTTTATTATTGTCTGAGATCAAGATTCTAATCTAGCTAAGTTGTCTCTATGGGTTGGGCTAAGTGTAGTGAAAAGCTCAAACAAACTTAAGTATGTGAAGAAGTGACATTTGGTGCCAAAACCAGGTATGAAGACTGACATCCATTGAGGAGCTGCTACTTGCTGAAAAATTATCCAGGAAGAATGTGTTTATGGAGTCACCTAGAGTCACACTTAGCTCAAAGAGTCCTTATCTTTAACACTATATCAATACATAGCATTATATCAAACATGCAGATGATATCAGCTGAGGAGTATAAATGTGGAGCACTTTGGGGCCTCACCCAAGAAAAACCTTTTTCTAAAACTTGTATTTTTCGATGAGATTATGGCAGTACAAATAATGTGTTAACGTCATATTTCTGTTGGTTTAGTCAGGGGTAGGCAACCTTGGCTCTTTCATGACTCATGGACTTCAACTCCCAGAATTCCTGAGCAGCCATGCTGAGGGGAAAGGGAAAAGTTTCCAAGCTGAGCCATGCTGGCTCAGGAATTCTGGGAGTTGAAGTCCATGAGTCATAAAAGAGCCAAGGTTGCCTACCCCTGGTTTAGTGGTTACAAAAGCAGGACTTTCCACAGAGGTATATTTCAAAGAGTTGATGTTAGGAAGAATAGAGATGGCCATTACTTGCCGTTATACTTAAGAATGGTCTGTGTCCACAGGATGACCAGTGTTTTCTGGATATTACAGGACACTGCGTTTCCAAGACATCCAAAGTTAGGTATGTTATGGATGCATTTTCCTGAAATGGGAAAGAATAAGAGTGAAGTGGAAGAAAATCAGGCATGTTCTGCTGAAGATGTTTAATAAACTAAGAGGTAGATTCATTAACAAAAATAAAGATAAATTTTCATTTTTAAAAAGTAGCTCACAATCTAGCGTTTACACATGATAATGTGGATCTTGAACCACAGCAGTGAAAATCAGTATTGCTGATTTCCAGGTGCAACGTTTCTGCTGGTTTCTGCTTATTTCAAACACGCACATAAATTCGTGTTTTGAAAAGGTTGATTTCCTCAAGAACTTCCTGAAAAAGATTAAATCGGATGACATCCATCCGGGATTATTAAAGGTCATTACAATCCCACTTCAAATTATGAAATAAATGAACAAAGCAAACAGCAGAGAACAAGGGTGAATTATTTGATTAGGAAGCCACCTGATCAAATTGCCAAACTAGAATCGGATTTCCATCTCAATGTGAATTTTTAAAAAGCAATGAGAAGCCAGCTTGGATGATTTCTGAATACTGCATATCATATCAGAAACTGGTTCCCATCTGTTCAATTCCAAATCAAATAAATGGTTTTAATTTTCGATGACAGGTTTATTTAACCCTTAGAAAGAGAAAACTCGGATTGATTTCTGCATTTTCTGACATTTTTCGTGGTTGGTTTTCTGACACTTGCAATTATATTCAGATGGCTCTGGATAGAATAGCTAGATCAGAAATTCCCAACCCCTGGGCCATGGCCCACTACAGGGGCTGTGGCCTATTCCCAACCAGACCGTGTGAGAGGCGGGCTAGCGCGCACGCTTGCATGTACAGCTCACCTTCAGAGTGGGGGGCCAGTGGGTGTGCATCCGCGTGTGCAGCTCAACGTGCAAATCAAGCTGTGCATGCATGCGTGTGTGCCAGCCCACTGCTTGCACAAATCAAGCTGCACATGTGTATGCACTGGCCTGCTGCTTGGGTGGTTGGTTCCCCTCTCCCCCCTCTACTGGGTCATCAAGCCACAGAGGTTGGGGACCGCTGAGCTAGATGATAGATTATCAAACTAAGCAATGATTGTCTTTGTTGTCCTTCAGAGACTTCCCCATTCTCTGAGGCACCCTGGGCTCCACTTCCTGTTCCTCAGAGTCCCCACAGGCCTTAGCCTGCTTCCCACCCAGCCACCCAAGGGAGCCTAAAATCAAGCAGCAGAAGCTACTGGTGCATGGAGGGCTGCTAGAACTTGCAGGTGGAGGCCTGCTTCCCCCTCAGCCACCAAGGGATTTGCAGGACTCAGCCTGCTCCACAGCCAGATCCAGGGTCCAACAACACCCAACTTACCATTCTGTTTTTACAGAGAGGTGCCTGGCCTGTCAGACCGATAAACGGAGATGATTGGCTTGTGGTCTGTTGCCCAGAGACGATGCCCAATTAAGTCCACCGGCCACAAGACACTCCTTGAGCAAAATTCCATTATTGATGCACAACAGCAAAGGGGTTGCCTCCAAAGAGGAGTCGTCGTCGTCATACATGGCTTTTTGTAATTTTTCACAGGAAGCAAGTGCTGCAATTGGCTACTTGTTAATGCGCAAGCAGACTTGATTAATGCCATTCCCACATGTCTGTGGTGTGTATTTTAGGATGCTAATGAGCCTTTCTGGGGCAAGGGGGGGGATCTGACTATCTAGGACAGATGGGGTGGTGGTGGTAGTGGTGGTACTGAGGCTTTCCCCGAATCTTGCAGAACTTGACACTGTGAAGGGACCAAAAACGTAATCTTTTATGTATAATCCATCTTTCCTGTATAACATAGTCCAGCCATTGTTCATTTATTTTGTTTGCTTTCTGTACGTGCTCCAATGTAATGTAAATTGTGCTGAGCAAAGAGAAAGAAAAGCTTTCTGTTACTTTAAAAATGTTACTGCTATAGCTTGCAACATGCAGTAGCGTTCTTTTTCCACTCCCTTTCTCCTTGGATGGTAAATGTATTCCTTTGCTTCTCTACAGTGGTGCCTGCAAAGGAACAAGTTAAGTTTCTGGGCTAATTGCCATCTATTGAGCTATTGTGTATTCAGAGCTTAGAGATGCAGAATTGCAACATGCTTGATAGATAAGGACATTCAAACGAAAAAGAAATTTTTAGATGTGCAGAACCCTTGCAGTGTTAAGGGGAAAAAAAGTGTATTAGTTATAAAAGGAAGAACTTTTTGATTAGGACCTGCTCATTGTCTTCTGTCTCACAGTGTGCGTGCATGTGACAAGAGATTGGGACACTTTGATCAAAGGAATAAAACTGTATTCTTTTCAGTAGCTTTGTGTTCAGAATCTTTTTGGATTTATTGGAATTCTGAGCTAAAAACCTTAGAACACCTAACGCTGTTTTGGATATTTTTAGTTAACGCCTACCGTGTTCCTTCGTTCCGGAACTGCATCTTCCTGAAACTGTGACTCTAGTTCCTAGGACATCTTTTTGAAACTTGCTTTTAATTTTCTCTTCCTTCAGGCCGATGCAATGCAAAGCCCAGTTTTTCAACAGAAGCTGCCTCATGACAGCTAGATGCTATTCTGCAAGCCGGTATTCTTTTTGTGATCCTGTAAGGCAGTGGTTCTCAACCTGTGGGTCGGGACCCCATTTGGGGTCGATCGACCATTTCACGGGGGTCACCAAGCAAGGCTGTCCGCCATTTTTTTTGTCTGCCATTTTTTTTGTCCGCTATTTTTTCCCCTTTTCCGGTGGGTGCCTTACCTCCCTTGGGCTGGGCCAGCTGGTGGTCGGCCTGCTCCGTCTCTGCCACTTGCCAGCTACGCCTCGGCCGGCGCAGGGGGCGGAACCACGCATGCGCGGTGCTCCCGGGCAGGGAAAGTCCTCGACTTACGACCAGTTGGGCAGTCCTCAACTTACAACCGGTTTAATCCTTGACTTACGACCGGTTTAGTCCTTGACTTACGACCGGTTTAGTCCTCGACTTACGACTGGTTGGGGTCACGGCATTAAAAAGGTTGAGAACCACTGCTGTAAGGGCTGTGTTTGTGTGTGTCTCTCTCTGTGTGTGTTTTAAGGAAGCTCCACAGAGTCCACAAATAGATGGAACAGGCTGAATCCTGCAAATCCTTGGCTGAGTGGGAAGCAATCCATAACAGTTCCTAATGGATGGAAAGCTTCTGCTACCCGACTTTAGTTTCCATTGGGTGGCTGAGTGACTGGATTGGGAGCAGGCAAAGGCATGCAGGCATTCAGAAGAATGGAGCGGGGAGATAGGTGGGGGGCTACTACCTGTGGTTGGTTGTAAACAACTGCAAAGGCACTGCAGTGGCCTTAACTTTGAAACCAGGTTATAAGTAGCTTTGGGGAGGGGGGGTCTGTTGTAACTTTGACGGGTCACTAAGGGACCAGTCATAAGTCAAGGACTACATGTATTGCTTTTTTTTTTCCCTCATAAATTGGTGGAAAAGAAGAGATTCTAGATTCACAGTGGCATATTTTATACTTGTACTTTAAAATTTAGCATATTTTAAAATTAAGCTCAAGTAAGTTTACAAGCTCCCCCAATTAATTAGTAACGGTTTTTTAAAAAGTTCTTTAAAAGTGCCATTTCAAAAAACAAAAACAAAAAACAACTCCTAAGTGACACAAACAAGTACTTCCAAAATGATCACACCATGCAGTCAAATAATTATCTAGTGGTTGCATTCAATCAGAGTATTATGACAGACAGGGACTCAATGCTGGAACCCAGGCCCCTATCAGGGACAAGCCAGCCACAGCTGGGGTACTTACCACATGTTGAACGTGAGCATCAGCAATACGGAACAGGGTAAAAATGTAGCCTTCTTTGCGATGTTCGTTGATTAAATTCAGGGCCACCTCTGCACTCTTCTCTATTCTGGCATCATTGCAGTCTTCAGGGACTATCAAAGCTTGGCAGGATGTGGTCCATGCCACAATAAATAGAGCACAGGCTAGCAATTTCATTTGGGCTATGCAGTGATTTGATCCTCTTAAGTCACCAGATTGGAGCTCTTTTGAGCTGATGCTAGAAAACCAATTCCATAAACTCAAAGGGATGTTTATTTTTTGGTAGCTCTGATCTCAAGGTTCTTGACCCAGTTGTCTTGATCCCTGGTTAAGCTAAACAAATAGAAAATGATTGATGGAGTAAACAAGAGGGAAAGAGGGATTAATATCTGAACCAATGGCTAAAATAGCATGAAACTCCAGTACTGGGATACAGGAAGAAAGAGGTAGCTTGCATAGATTTGAAGAGTAGATCCCAGTATACAGAATTCTGTGATGGTTGAATAAGCCACGAGATAGTCCAAACGTGAACTACTTTTATGCATCTGGGTTTTTTTCTGTGTAAAATTGAAGTTATCTTGCCAATATAGGTAGTCTTTGACTTATGACCACAATTGAGCCCAAAATTTCTGTTGCTGAGTGAGACCGTTGTTAAGTGAGACCATTGCCACAATTGTTAAAGTGGTTAAAATAAGTAACACAGTTGTTAAGTGAATCTGGCTTCCCCACTGAGTTTACCTGTCAGAAGGTAGCAAAAGGTGATTATGTGACCCTGGGACACTGCAACTCTCATAAATATGAGCTGGTTGCCACCTATCCAAATTTTGATCATATGAGTATGGGGATACTGTAATGGTCATAAGTGTGAAAAACATTCATAGGTTTTTCAGTGCCATTGCAACTTTGAACAGTCACAAAATGAAATGGTGTAAGTCGAGGACTATCTGCAATTGACAAAGTCACCACCTTAACTTAGAATTAAAGGCCCACTTTTAAGGTTTATTGTGGGACATTAGAGGCAGGATCTGTATAATGAATTCAGACATAATGATCTTTCTTAGTCTTTAATCATTCGGGTTTTTGAACCATGATTTATGAAGTAGCCTGATGTCTACATGCAGCTATTTGCTTATTTGGTACCTCATGTTTAAATAATCCATCACTTCCCAGAGTATATGAATCCAGACAGTATTTTATTCATGAAAATTAAATTAAAATCAAAACTTTGTTAGTATGATGCTGCAAAACATTAAGCTAGCAAACATGGAAACATAGAGAATTCTGCATGTGTGGGGAGATCTGATGAGTTTCTATTAGATTAAGATTTCAGTGTCCTACAGTATATCCAGGGCTTTTTTTCTCATAGAATGCCCAGAACGGAGTTCCGGCACCTTTTTTGGATGGAACCTTGTAGGGTAGGCAAGGCAGGTTGTATGACGTGTGTGAGTTCCGGCACCTTTTTTTTTAATAGAAAAAAAGCACTGAGTACATCATTCAGTTTTAGTGAAGTTCTGGCCCATGAAGGTGAAGGCCATAGACCTGTACTGCAAGGTGTCCTGGGCAGGATGGTGATTCTGAAAACCCATTGGGGAAGGGAGGAATGGCTGGCCTGGCTAACTTTACTGAGTGAGGACTGGCTTCCTGTTCTGGAGAAGTCAAACTGGGTTTAGAAGTTGGTTTGGGCTCCTGGACTTCTGGTAAGGAGTGTAGTGAGACATGTTTGCTTGAAGGAGGATAGATGATCACCCGCCCCAATATTTCCTTCTGGTCTGGTAGTATCTCAGTGATGTTAGCTGAGTGGTGAGGAGAGTGTGGCTCCTGGTCTTCATGCTTATGTCCATGATGTTTGTGGTGATGAGGATGGGAGTGGTGATGATGGTGTCTGTTCTCTTCATGTTGATTTCTGTGTCTTTTACCGTCAATGTGCTGTTCCTCCTGCCCAGGTTCCAACCCAGACAGTGGAGTCTGTTCATCTGTAACCGGTGGCTAATAAGACAAAACATACAGAAAAGTAGCTTAGGGGGTTGTCAGTGTCTAGGCCAGGGGTAGTCAACCTTGGCTCTTTTATGACTCGTGGACTTCAATTCCCAGAATTGCTGAGCCAGCTTAGCTGGCTCAGGAATTCTGGGAGTTGAAGTCCATGAGTCATAAAAGAGCCAAGGTTGACTACCCCTGGTCTAGGCCTATAAATTGTGCTTACTTATTTTGTGGAATATTCAAGACAGTTGGTGTTAATAATTTGTCTGGATGCGGCAAGGTGAGACCTTTCCAATTGTATGCTCTCGTGGTACCCTTAATTACCTATGAACTTATTTATGCATTTAAAAAAAAAAATCAAGGGGGGTTTGTTCAGTTGTTTCTATTTATATTTGTTCGTTTCATTTCATTATTTTATTATTGAATCTTATTTAAGGAGTTATAAATTACCTCACTTCGGAGGCTTTAGGTAGAATGCAAAACTGAAATATAATCAAGAACTTTACAATAAAAACAACTACCGGTAACAGTAAAGTTGTTAAGCAGATCTTCTACCTGCTTAATCAAGCGAGGTCTTAACTAGTGATTTTTTAAAGCTATTATTTAACTGAGAAATTGATCGGTGTGTTGGGTAAAGTTCAGTCAATGATTTTAAAAAAGTAAACCATGTTTGAGAAACCTGGAGTGAATATTTTCTGCAGATGATAGCTGTCTGAGGAACTTACCAGGTGTGGGAAGAAATGGCACTTTACAGTGACAAATTTCCGATTTTCAATCCGACTATTTACCACAGAGCCCTTGCATAGGCCTGCCTCCTAGAGCAAAAGAAAAACTTTTCATCAAAAAAATCCCCAAGAGGTTTAAGTTGGCCAGATGTTTTTAATATGCAGTGGGACAGCAATACATATCATTCCTCAGATGTTCTGTATCAAAGCGCCTTCTCCGTTAGTCTCTATGGTTGGCATGCCATTTCTCCTCCTCAAAAAAACTGTTTCTGTGCTCCAGTTAGAGTGAATGGCATGGCAAACCCAAATTTGTGTGCGGAGAGCACACAACAGACATTCTTTCTTTTTCTCATTTCTTTTGCCTGTAGAAACCGGGCTACATGCATAACATAGGGTTTTTCAGCATGAATTTGCTAAAGTGGAATAAAACTGATTCTTAAGTTTGAAGTGAAGATACATTTTGTTACTACTCCTGTACTGCAGGATATTCCAATGTACATTTCCTGTGCTGTGAGGCTATTCATCAGTTCCCTTCTATTTGTGAACATAACATAGTATTCTGGGAATTCCAAAATATTCTGTTTTCTTTCAGACTGTACTGATCCAACTGTTCTAGGGGTGACTGAATAGTTTTCTGGTGTTACAGAATGAAATCGTTATTTTAATTATTATATTCCTATTGGTATATAATTTTGGTTATTAAAGAATTGCCCTGCAGAATTCTGCTAAATTATGATTAACATTATGATTTATAAGTTGGGTTAGAGAGCACCAAATGATACTGCATAGATGGAACAGCCTGCTTCCTCGAATTATGTGTACTGCATCACTAGACGTTATCAAGCAAAGGATGGACAGCTAGTTTTCTAGGGATGGAATGGGACAATTCGCTGTGGCCAACTCATCACAGCCATCTTGCCACAGCCATCTTGCCGGGGCCAACTCTCTGCAGCCATTTTGCTGCAGCCAACCCGCCATAGCCAACTTGCCGCAGCCATCTCACTGCGGCTAACTCATCCTATGACAACTCACCACGGTCAACTTGCTGCGGGACAACTCGATGCAAACAATTCCGTGCAGGATAACTCAACGTAATAATTGTCAATGGAAATAATGCCAAAGAAACAGTGCCGATAACCTTTATCACGTTGAGTTATCCCATGTGGAATTGTCCGTGGTGAGTTGGCCATGGCAAAATGGCCATGGTGAGTTGGCCACAGCAAGCTGACCTAGATCCTTGGAGGGATGATATGAGAATTCCTGTGCAAGGAGTTCCAACATTATCATTGTCTGGTTCCTGACCATCTCTACAAAATCTAAGTTTAGATTTAACTTCTTCTTCTGATTCAGTATGGTATTATTACTGTTTCTTCCATTTCTTTTCAAATAGATTTATTACAGATATATTAGTAGATTAGTATCTGCCTAACAGTTGTCCTTCATGTGGGATGGCTGGATTCATACAACGTGTTAAATCCAAAACCTAGGCTAACTAAAACTGATTACTGTACTCACACAAGAGGTTATTTCAAATTAATATGCTTTAGCATGGCATAAGATGATTTCTTGACTCACACAACCTATAGGATTAGAGCTGGCTTTCCCCAAATTATTCAATTCCATTTTTGTTAGATTTGGAAAAGAAATCTACTGACAGACTTTGTAGAAGATGTCTGAATACTCACTGCAGTGTTGGATGGGAGCAGAGGACACTTAGTGATGACAGACACTGGCTGGCTTTTGGGACAAGAGGTCTCTTGGATGGTGTACTCCACAAAGCTGGAAGGACCAACAACCCACTGCGAAAAAGTCACAGGCAAAAATTAGAGCAGGTCCCATAAGAGTTATGGGAATCAAAGTCCAACTGATCCATAGAGCACCAAGTTGCAGAATATCATGCTTTAAAAAAACAAGAAAAACATGCTGAGTAATTTCGAAGATGTTTCCTTTATCATTCCTCACCCATAGACAGAAATCTTGCCAAACTAAAGCAAATAAGGGTCTAAAGATCTGATTCTGCTGTTTGGCCTCGGGACTCACTAGGGCAGGGGTAGGCAACCTTGGCTCTTTTATGACTCGTGGACTTCAACTTCCAGAATTCCTGAGCCAGCATGACTCAGCTTGGAAACCTCTCCCTTTCCCTTCAGCATGGGTGGCTCAGGAATTCTGGGAGTTGAAGTCCACGAGTCATAAAAGAGCCGAGGTAGCCTACCCCTGCACTAGGGGAATATAGGTAATCCTTGACATACGACCACAATTGAGCCCAACATTTCTGTTGCTAAGTGAAATAATTGCTAAGCGAACTTTGCCCCATTTTGCAACTTTTTTTTGCCACAGTTGTTAAGTGAATCACTGCAGATGTTAAGTTAGTCACACGGTTGTTAAGTGAATCTGGCTTCCCCATTGATCTCGCTTTTCAGAATGTCACACTGCAATTGTCATAAATATGAGTCAGTTGCCAAGTATCTGAATTTTGATCATGTGATCCATGGGGATGTTGCAATGGCCAGAAGTGTGAAAAATGGTCATAAGTCACTTTTTTCAGTACCGTTGTAACTTTGAGCGGTCACTAAAGGAACTGTTGTAAGTCAAGGACTATTTGTACTACACTGGAGGTGGCTATTGACTAATTAGCTGACCCCATCCTGCTGCCTCCGCCCATCTTTTAATTCATATTATTGCCCTTGTTTATTTTTATTGACTCATTGCCTTGCTATTCTTTTTTTTTTTTTAATAGAAATTTTTATTAACTTTTCAGTTAAAAACAATCACAAAAATATGATGCATTTAGTCACAATATCAACCAAAAAAAAATTAACACTATTCAATACATTCACGGAAGTGTCCCCCTGCACCCCCCTCTTTCACTTTCCACACCTTCCTCCCCCCGGACCTACTACCTCTCCTCCTTCCTCCCTCTCTACCTACTTCCCTTCCTCTCTCAACCATCCCGTCTGGTGCAGTTGGGGTATTCACCGGGCACCTCCTTAAAAAAAAACACCACATATAAATCTACAATCTTAATTATTATTTACCTATAGCATATGAATACATCAATTTTTTTAATACCCCTAATCCCCTTCCCCCCCTTGCTATTCTTATGTTTACATTTTTTATTATTTTTTTCCATTTTATTGTTGTGAGCCGGCCAGAGTAGCCCCACGGCAACATGGGTGGCCAATAAATTTAACAAACAAACAAATAAATAACTTGCATCATTAAAGATATTCTCTGAGAACTTTGAGAACTTTTGTAACATTCTCCCATCCAAATATTAACCCAGCCTAACCCTTCTTAGCTAGTTTTCTGCCTAATAAATAGTACTGAACAATACTTGTCCTTAGAACTGGGAATTTTGAAAGGTGGCTAGGTATACTTGCTAGCAACTTTTCCTAATTTGGTTTTCTCTGAGGTTTAGGTACAGTTACTTCCATAATTCTTTGAGTTTTATTCACAACTTATCTGAAGGATGCCAGATTGGGAATTGTTACAAGAATTAATCTGTTCCAGCCAAACCAAGGACACAGCATTGACGTTTCAGTGTTACCTGTGATCTGGCTTTGGTGACATTGAGGATGGTGAAATAATGAACATGGTTGCTTTCAGCATTGAATTTTGCCAGGCTCTCGGCCGCTGTTTCCCAAAAAGTGGCTTCAGAAGGGTCTTTTGGGGTTGGACAATCAGGGCAGATTTTTGCCATAGCAGCTGGAGAAACTATAGAGAACAATATAGCAAACATTTAGAAAAGTGTTTCTCAACCTTGGCAACTTTATGGAGGGGGGATTTCAATTCCCAGAATTTACCAGCCAGCATTCATGTGTGGGAAACTGTGAGAACTGAAGTTCACCTATCTTAAAGTTGCCAAGGTTGAGAAACACTGAATTAGAACTGGATTTCAGCTCATATATTTAAATGAATGCACAAATTTGGATTTGATTGAAAATTGAGCCTCTTTATCTCTTGACCATGTTACCATATGATCATATTGTCTAAATCAGAGGTGGGGAATGATGGCCCCTTTATGATTTGTGGACTTCAACTCACAGAATTCCTAAGCCAGCATGGCTGGCTAAGGAATTCTGGGAGTTGAAATCCACAAGTCATAAAAGGGCCATACTGTACATGTTATAGTCAATTTGACTCTTGTTTGTTTATATACAATAGGTCTTACTCGGCTGCCAAGTCACACAGTGCTTCATGAATTGAACATAAAGTGAATTTTGGCTTGAATAGAAGATAAAAAATCTGAATTCCATTCTTGGATTAACTACAAATATTTGTCTCATTGTTTGAATTTGATGGAGAATTTCAGTTGCTAGTCCCCCGCTCATCGTTTAATTCAGGCATTAAAATTAGATGCAAAGGGACAACATATTTGTTCTGTCAGGATTTTTTTCTGTACATGTACAACAAATCTTATCAGATTATTGCAATATCATGACAACATGGAGGTCACTATGTTTTTGAGTCTGATAATAAATTTTGCAAACCCATTAATCTGCACAGATATATATATATATATATATATATATATTAAAGCACAATATGTACCAAATAAAAATGAAGAATAATTCATTAGAATAAAAAGTTGTGAGAAACTGCACATGCAAAAAGCATAGGGCTCATGTGAAAATTTATAGAAAATGAAGTCGGGCCAAATAGCACCTGTGGTTGAGAAATAGAGCAAACAGAAACTCCAGATATAGCTAAGATATCCTGAAGAACAAAATAAATCTTTAAAATTTAATTTTGGGCCCTTTGCATCTACTTTTAAAATTTCTGCAGGGAAATCTGTAAAACTGCAATTGGGAGTTATATGTATATTTAGATATATTTTTTTCTTGCAAACCTATATGTAGGAAAATACGTACGTGGGCGTAAAACACAGTCATAACTGTACAATTGTGAATGATTTGAATTCCTGTTGAAGTGAATTATTATTTTGCATTGGCCATAGACCTGGAACAAGAAAAGGTAATTTTTGTTAGAGTCACCCACTTCTTTTACCAATGATTTCATGATACATAATCAAAAGCTGTATCTTTTCCACACCTTAGACTCCAGTTTACTTTCCTTCCAATATGAGGGGAGTCAAATTTTCTATATTTCTTGTTCTCCACATTTCCACAGTTCCTACATTTCTTCCTGCAATTTTGCTCAACCCTATTTCTACTATGGATCTGAAGGGGCAGCTCACTGCACAGAATTATCATAAATGTGCACGCATGTGCTAAGGGAACCAATGGAAAGAGTGGAGAAGTGACGAAGGATATTCTGAAGAGGCATGCTTGTTGAGATACGACAAGAGGGTAGAGTGACTCCCTCAGCCTCCTTTGCAAACCAGTTCAAAACCCAGATTCAACTTCCTTCCAATCTCAGTTGGTAGTTTTTTAAACTAAGTAATCGATTACCGTACTTACTGTCTCGTGTGCCTCTCTAATTTTGCACTCTTTCCACAGGTTTCTGCTCTGGACATGGCATTCAGTTTCTAACACATCCAAGGTGAGGTAGAAAAGAGAACCACCCATCCACTATGGACAAACAAAGGAAAATTCTTGAAAAGGCAAAGCAATGTGTCAATCACCATAAGTACATTACATGGAATTAAATTAACCTTCAAATTATCATTCAGAAAAAGGCAAGAATTCAGCCCACTTCCACTCGGTGTCAGGAAACCAACTACCCTTTTGATGAATCCAGCAGTGCCCGGTTAGAAGATGAGCAGGAGTGGTCCCTGGGATGTGTAATCACTCATCTGGCTCTGGTTGTAGTGGAGATTGATTTTTTCTTCTTCTGTAACTCCAATGTGGAATATATGGGATCATAAACTGAGCTCCTGAAGGGAAAGCTTTAATCCTGCACAACCTGAACACGATCACCCAACTCCAAAATATACGTTGACTATCTAACACCAAAAGTTGGCTGGATACCACAGAAATAACTTAAGAAATATTTTACTTTGCTTTAAAAAGTTGCAACCTGCAAGATGCTACACTGAAAAATACCGTCAATCTTCATTTCAAAATATATGAAAGGAGGAGGTTTAGAACTTTTATACTGGTCAAGAAGAGAGGTGTTTCTTCTTTCCTTTAGAACTGACAGCTGTCTGTGTATCACTTTTAAAACGTTTTCCTATTAATGCTGGCTTGCTTCAGTTGAATTTAGAACACTAAACCACCATCACCGCTGAGTATATTTGAGTGATTAGACAGGTCACTGATTCTGTACAAGTTGTGGAGATTGGAAGGAAGACACCAAAATATGCTGGAGCTTTGAATGCTGACATATTTGTGGAGTACGAATGTCCACAGAGCCATCAGGCAGTGTTCCAGTATTTGAGGGGCTGCCACAAGGAAGGAGAGGGGGTCAACTTATTTTTCAAAGCACCAAAAGGCAAGACAAGAAACAGTGGGTGGAAACTAATCAAGGAGAGAAGCAAACTAAAATTAAGGAGAAACTTTCTAACAGTGAGAATAATTAACTAGCTTGCCGTCAGAAGTTGTGGGTGCACTATCACTGGGGTTTTTAAGAAAAGATTGGACTTGTCTGAAATGGTATGGGGTCTCCTGTTTGAGCAGGGGTTGGACTAAAAGACTTCCAAGGTCCCTTCCAATTCTGTTCTGTAATTCTGTAACCATTTACTCCAAATGATTTATGCCTGGGACAAAAAAAATTATTTGAAACTTGAGGAATATCCATTATAGCCACAACTGGTCCCATCAGCTTAACGTGGAAGATCTAGGATAGGTACAGTCCCGTCTCATTAAAAAAAAGAGGAATGCTCAGGGGCATTAGGATCTGCTATTTAAGATAGTTACTTCAGTCTTGTAGTAATGATGCACAACAGAGGGTGTAGGATGAATAGTTGCTTCCCTTCTCTCTGTACACTTAATTTATGAATCAGAACAGAGCTGGAACGGACCTTGGAGGTCTTCTAGTCCAAACTCCTGCTCAAGCAGGAGACCTATACCATTTCAGACAAGTGACTGCCCAGTCTCTTCTTAAAAGCCTCCAGTGATGAAGCACCCACAACTTCTGAAGGCAAGCTGTTCCACTAGTTCTCACTGTTAGGAAATTACTCCTTAGTTCCAGGTTGCTTCTGTCCTTGTTATTGTATTATTATTGTATTACTATTTTTTATTATTTTATTATTAGATCCATCAAATCTAGTTTGGAAGAATCTGGATAACCTAGCAGATAAAAATGGCTGTCCAGTCTCTTCTTAAAAACTTCCAGTGTGAATGCTCCAACACTGGAAGTTTTAAAGAAGAGACTGGACAGCCATTTGTCCGAAATGGTATAGGGTTTCCTGCCTGAGCAGGAGGTTGGACTAGATGACCTCCAAGGTCCCTTCCAACTTTACTACTACTACTACTACTATTATTATTATTATTATTATTATTATTATTATTATTATTATTATTATTATTATTATTATTATTATTATTATTATTATTATTATTATTATTATTATTATTATTATTAT